TGTCTTGGTGCGGTTTGATCTATGACATTAGTTGTCTTGGTGCGGTTTGATCTATGACATTAGTTGTCTTGGTGCGGTTTGATCTATGACATTAGTTGTCTTGGTGCGGTTTGATCTATGACATTAGTTGTCTTGGTGCGGTTTGATCTATGACATTAGTTGTCTTGGTGCAGTTTGCCTCAGTAGAAATGCTGTTAATCCCTATAACATTAGCTGTCTTGGTGCGGTTTGATCTATGACATTAGTTGTCTTGGTGCGGTTTGCCTCAGTGGAAATGCTGTTAATCCCTACAACAAGGAAATGATGTGAATCTATGGTGCGATTTGACCTATGACAATAGTTGTGTTAAGGATCATTGTTGGCCTTTTGTAGCATTTGAGGGAATACTATGAATTTCGTTTTGTTCAAATGTCTGCTTTATGGGTTCTAAGGTCTGCTATATGGGTTCAAATGACTGATTTATGTGTTCTTATGCATGTTGTAGTGATTTTCACCATTGATCAAATGCAAACTGAGAATGAATTTATGGGTTCTTATGCCTGTTGTGGGTATATTGTTCAAATGTGGTATCAAAAGAGATTTATCTGTCATTCGATTTTTAGCCTGCCATTCGGTTTTTAGCAAATATGAAAATATGAAAAGAGAGGAAGAATGAAAACATGTTCGATTTTTATTTGTTAGTTGAGAAATTTTTATTTTCACCAAAGGGAGAAATGGAATGAATGTTTTCCGAGGTTGATAGTGCAGATGATGAGAGACGTAGCCAGAGTTTTAAATTAAATATTTTAATATTTTTCATTGTAGTTGTACTTGTTTTTGTACTTTTTTTTATTTCTTCTGGTACTTATGAGAATGTGAGAACTGTATGTTATCTTTTGGAACTGATCTGTGATGATTGTATGCTTCTGCACTATATGCTTATGCATTACCAATAAGCTATTCTGAATAAGCTGTCACAAACAGTTTTAACAGACAAGGGCATGAATGTCATTTAACCACCAACAAACTAATGTGAATAAGCTGCTCCAAACAACATGCCAGATTATTCTGATAATCTGCAGATTATCAAAACAATCTATTTATTATCATATTATAAATAATCAACAGTTGCGCCAAACATATCCTAAGTCTCGTGATTTTTTCTCTTTTAAGAATTTTCCATGTAAAAATTGAGATGTCACCTCTTGTTCTATCGCCACACACCTTTCATCACGCATTAAATGTAGTGATTTGGGTAAATTACATTTCAAATTATATAT